CCAGCTAAAGCAAAGAAAGTCTGGTTTTGCTGAATTTTCTTTGGTGTATACACAACCACATCAGCGGATTAACAATCTGGCAGCAAGTTGAGTTGACAGCTAGGTTTCAATACAAACTGAAAGGCATCTGGTAACTGCAGTTTCTGACTAAATGAGTCTTAGATTTTGGTCTTACAAAATCTTGGCCAGTGTAATTTGCAGTGGGTGAAGGAGGGCATTACTAATTATTACAAATTATAACAATAGCCCTCTCACATACAATAATGATTGATAATCATCTTAACCTTTACTCATGATTACACGCTCTGTTCTTTGAATTATGAGATCATCATTTATGCAGTGTTGTTTTTAGTATTATGCCACCAGCTACCCTATCAAATAGTTTAAACATTCAGTTCTTTTTAGACTGGTGGTTGGTCAAAATGAAGAATATAGAAAACCTCCCCAGAAATAAGGTACGTATGATTTTGTTTCAAATGTGAATGGCTTTTATTTTCTGTTGTCGCTATTCATATTGAGATATAGTCAGGAACTTTATTTTAAAGCCAAGTGAAAAGCCCAACCAGGTGAACTACAACAGGAGAAACCAACAAATGACATGCGAGGAGAGGAGAGGAACAAAATACATAAGGGAGAGGATTTGAGGTAGCAGGCATTTAGCAAAATGAAGCATCAATCCTTCAAAGCCCTCATTTTAAAAATATGCAAATCAAATATGAATAGCGACACAGAGATCACAAAAATGGTGGGAGAAAGGTTTGATCACCTGAAATAACTAAAACAACTGAAACAACCAAATCCAAAGGAACACTTATCTTTAGAGTACTTTGCTTGCTATATTCCAGCTCTGTGTCTCGCCTTTGAGTCACAGGGAAAGCACTTCTACAAAAGATATGCCCTTACATCCTTGATTCCAGCTCCTCTGGTGAGCCTCCTTCTCTCTCCTCACTCCTCTCTCCTCCAGATGTGTTTTAGCAATTGATACATCCTGCAAGATGGTGATTTAAGAAGGATTTCCAGGTTTTGTGAAGGATGGTAAAATATGCACAAAACAGAGAAATAAAAAAGCTGTCTGTTGCACGTGGATCCTCTTCCTCTGAGAATCATTACAGTGCTTCTCAATTACGACACCACCAGATTATGAATTCCTTGTGGTTTTACACTTGGCTTCACACATTTGCAGTGTTCACAAATAAGATCCCACTGGTATTGAAATCTAAACATAGACGGGCTCTATCCAGATATCTCTAACTTGTAAAGACAAACGTGACTGATTTTGGTCAGATGAGAGCAAAGATGACGACAGAGTGATTAAGCTTTTCCTGAAAATGATCAATGTCTCCTCCGTCCATGGCATTGTGGGTTTATCCCTGCAAATGAGAAGCAGTCACAATAAACCACAATCAATGTAACCTTGTGACCTCTGTGATTACAATCAGTGGGATTTGATGGTTCAAGCTCTGTCCAATTATCTCATTTTGTGGACTAACAAAATGAGATGATTTCCCTTGGAAGATATTTGAAGAGCCAGAAAAGTTCCCCTGAGGAATTGGATGTACACCTACAACTCCAGTGGGCTCCCTGAGTTCCAGTCAGGTCAAAGGGTGAAACAACTAATGTCTTTGAGGTCAGCTGTTGTTCTTCTATAAAGAGTCATTATGTCAGTGCCATCAATCAAAACTATATTAAGGTGTGGGAAAGACTGGTTTCCTTATATGGTAAGGCATCCAGACATACATACGTACACGTGTTACACAAGCCAATTTTAAATATCCATCCATCCATTTTCTTCTGTTTTTTCAGTTCAGGGTCACGCGGTGTGCTGAAGCCTAACCCAGCTGCCACAGAACAAGAGGCAGAGCTGCAGGGCTAACACATAAAGATAAACAACCATTCATGTTCACATTCACACCTACAGTGAATTTTTAAATCACCAATTAACCTAATCCTATGCATGTTTGTTAATGGGAATGGAGAGTCGTCTTTACACACTAAGGTTAATTATGGAGCTCTACATGGTTCTGTGCTAGGACCAATCTTGTTTGCATTATACTTGCTTCTCTTAAGCTGTATCATTAGAAGGCCTAGTATACATTTTCACTGCTATGCTGATAACACCCAGCTCTATCTATCTATGAAGCCAGATAACACACACCAATTAGTTAAACTGCAAGAATGTCTTAAAGACATAAAGACCTGGATGGCCGCTAACTTTCTGCTTCTTAATTCAGATAAAACTGAGGTTATTGTACTCTGCCCTGAAAATCTTAGAAATATGGTATTTAACCAGATTCTTACTCTGGATGGGATTACCTTGACCTCCACCAGGACGTCCTTGAATGCACACATTAAACAAATATGTAGGGCGGCTTTCTTCCATTTGCACAATACCTGTCTCAGGTGACACTGAAAAACTAGTTAATGCACTTGCTGCTTCTAGGCTGGACTAATGTAATTCATTATAATCAGGATGCCCTAAAACTCCCTGAAAAGCCTTTAGTTGATCCAAAATGTTGCAGCAAGATTATTGACAGGGGCTAGAAAGAGAGAGCATATTTCTCCTATACTATAGTATTTAAAAGTCCTGTCTTCCTCCCCTCACCCTAAACGGCTGTGGCGTATAGACTTAGGGAAGGGCGGTCACCCCTCCCTAAGTCTGGTTCTGCTGGAGGTTTCTTCCTGTTAAAAGGGAGTTTTTCTTTCCCACTGTCACCAAAGTGCTTGCTCGTCTGATTGTTGGGGTTTTCTCTGCTACATTTACCTTACAATATAAAGCACCTTGAGAAAACTGTTGTTGTGATTTGGTGCTATAAAATGTCTTTGAGCCTGGATTCCTCTTTCTGTGACGCAATGGTGGTGCCCCATTATATTTCTATTTTATTTATCTATTATTATCTATTATTATCTTGATATCTATTATTTTGTATCTATTATTAGTTGTATAATACAAGAATGGAAGTTTGAATTTATTGAGTTTCCTTTAATTCAATTCAATTTTAATTTTATTTATATAGCGCCAAATCACAACAACGGTCGCCTCAAGGCGCTTTATATTGTGAGGTAGAGCCTACAATAACACATTACAGAACAATAATACATTACAATCTGTTTAGGTAGTACTGAATACTCACTTTTGCTATTTTTAGCTTCTTTACCTTCTTTCGTCCTGCGAAATTATATAATGCCAGGATGTTTGATTAAAAGTAGGAGAAAGTTAAACACCTTTTGTGGCAGATGGGTAACCATGAATGTTTAATTCATCAATGATGAATGTCAATTATTTACCTGACAAATTATGACTTATCATGCAGTCATTTTAGCCAAAATAAATAAATAAATAAATACATAAATAAATGAAATTGCTTATTTGAGCTGAAGTAATATTATGCTTTGTTGCCTGACCCTGTATGAACTTTACTTTATGACAGATTATGAAATGCAACTGATATGAATCAGGCTTGCTGGGCATTTCCAACTTATAAACTCATAGCTAAGCATAGTGTAGTAAAAATACTTTTATTCAAACTTAAGTACAAAGATAAAGCTTTGACAAAGGCAGTGCCCTGTATTAAACAGCCAACAGCCTGGATTATATATCCAGAGATAGCACATAAAGAGATATTTTTACTATAGAATCAGAGGTTCATAAATGCTGCATCCTTGTGTGCAGAGTTTCTTTTCTCTTCATGGATTCCTGAACCAATCAACCATTGAGGATAATGTTAGAAGTTTTTGTTGTTTTTCCAAAAAGAGACATCTGTTTTCTAATTAACCTGTTACTTCACACTATGACGTTTCTATAAATAAACAAAACATATTGCAGGTTAAAGTATGAAAGGCGTTGTCTCTAATAACATCCAGTCATAGAAGTATTAGTATAATAGTCAACTCAAAGAAAGCCCAGATTTGTTCACATATACTGGTATCAAATATTGGTTCACTTTACAAGTGAATCAGTAAATCATTGCTAACAATAACAATGGATTATCTATAAAAGTAAATGATGGAATTTCCACTAGCTTCGGGGTGATATCAGTGCTGATAGGAATACTGGCCACATGGGGAAAAAACAGAAACAATGTGAGAGGAAGATTTAAATACAGTAATGTCATTTTTTTGAAAGTCTTTGGGAAACATGTAAGGGTGTAGCTGGTCACTGATCTGTCAGCTGGAGGCTTCACTCATATTTGTGTGTGTGTGTGTGTGTGTGTGTGTGTGCTAGCTTGCAGTGATCTCTCACGGTTCTATTTTGCTGCTGTGACGACTTTTTGACTTTCACTGGTGTCTCTGCTCACACCAGGGAAAAAGTGGGCCACAAGTCTTTTAAAGAGACTTGAAGTGGGCCAACTCTTAAAAACCGTGCCAACATGATTTACAGTTGGAGAGGAATCAACGGGATTAGCACACCTTTTGTCTTTTTTTTTCTCCTCAAGTGTGTCCCTTGTCTCTATTCTTTTTTGCTTTTCTTTTTTTTTTGTTTATATCTGGTATGCTGCGAATACTGTAATGATAGAAAATAAGTACATTTTCAGCTATTAAAAGAAAATGAAAAATTATGACAAATTGTATATGAAGTACATAAGACACATTAAGTATCCTTCCTGACAGGAAGACTAAAAGTGTTATTGTTCCAGGGGGAAAATGCTTTTCTTGTCAGCTGAAACACAGTTGCTGCTCTTTGTAAACACTTCCACTTTTTCCTTATAAATAGTTTACAGAGACAAATCCACACAGACGCAGTGTTAAGGTGAGGTAGAGTTAAGATACAAACAGTGTGATGAATGAAACTGAGAAGCAGGGGAAACTATATTTCCAAGGCTGAGACGTTTACTTTAATAGTTCTCATGTGAATATGAAGACAAGAGACAAATGTTAGTCCACATTACACATCTCCGCCCACTGGCGGTGTAACCAGATAAGAAGACAGCCTGACAACTTGACTCACCGATCACATTTATAGCATCCCCCCGCCCCTGAAAAACACTGACCAGCACATGCTGCAACCCCCTCTACACCCATTACCCACCATGGTAGACACTTTGGTCATCAACTTCCCTGATCTACCTCAACAGCTGTTTATCTAAACTTGCAGCCCCTGAGTTGTGCAGCACCTCACAGTGAGTAGGGGAAAGGAGACTTGAAAGTAGGACAGAGCCGTCTGGCCCCTTTCCTTTCCAACCAGAAGCACAGATTTGGGACTGGAGGAGAGAAGATACTAGTCTTGGGTGGTGAGAGAAAAGGAGAAGAGATTTTTGTGCTGCAGTCACTGAGGAAAGAAGCCCTAAGGACACAGACCAGTGTGTCTACATTGCAGAACATCCAGTTTTATTAAGGTTTCCTATCCTTTATCAGGGGGAAAATATTCACTGAACAGAAATCTCACCACCTGCAAACATGCACAAGCGTACAAAGATTAAGATTGCCATCTTTGTGTTGCTGGTGGGTATGGCATGCATGTTCACGGCAGTGGTAACGGACCACTGGGCAGTTCTTAGCCCAAAGGTGGAGAAACTCAATGAGACCTGTGAGGCGGCCCACTTTGGCCTGTGGAGGCTGTGCAAGAAGTACATCTACATCAGCTCAGAACACTACGACGAAGGGCACGGCTGCGGACCCATCAGCCTGCCTGGAGGTAAGAGAAAATCAGAGAGAAAACGTCTTGCAACTGGAGCATGAAAGTGAACCTGAGAGCCAGTTTTTAGTTTTCAGTCTCTGTGGCTGTGCTATCTCTCCAAAGGTTCAGTCTTTTTTGGAAAGATATTGCATGCGAGTAAGATGCTACTTTAAGGTATGAAGCTACTAAGAATAGAGATCCTGATGCAGGATCACTAGACATGTCATATGACTTTCTAAACTTCCCATTGCAACACAAACACATCCTGTTGTATGTCTCATGTTTTAGTCCATTCATGCTTGTTTTTTCTTTTTTGTTGTTTTTCCTGTGGATACATATTGTTATGTGCCGACAGCATTTCAGGGCCTGTTTGATTAGACTTCTGAAACATCTTTGAAATGTGTTTTAGTAGAGTAATATAAATATTAGTCAAAGAGTTTAGCCTGTGTTTAAACTATCTTGGTGGTCTTGGAATAAACAGCACCCAGAATGACCAACCACTATGACCAACCATAGATGTAAAGTGTTGACATGAGATAACAGTAGATAGATGTGTGATCAGCCAGAGAAATCTAAGCAGGAGACTAACAGCTGATCCTGATGGTTGGCTCCTCTTTTCTAGCAGATAATCTTATTAGTACAGTCAGCTGCCACAGAACCTGCAGACAGCTGATAATAATACCCATATGGATATGGACACTGCTTTGGAGCTCCCTGACATACAGAGAAACTGGATAGAGCAGCCTCCATGAAAAGTGATGAAAAGCCTTTCCTCAAACATCTTACTTGAGGACACTTTTGAGATAGATTTCACACATTCTAATATTACCACAGCCACAGCCACGGGAAATTAAAGTTTTTAATTTGGCCATGTTCATTTCAAAAACCCATTCATCTTTTTTTTTTAACATATTAAGGATCTTTCAGTCTGTACAAGGCAGGTAAGGTGAAAACAGCACAAAAATGATCCAATTTAAATGCTGCTTGTGCATCAAATAGAAATAGAAATCTCGGTATATTTAATATAACGCGGAGACATCAAATGGAGGCTGTTCTCCTTCTGGATTGTGTTTGCAGTGGTGTATGCTTACACCAGCCTACTCAACATGTCACTTTACACTGGTATTAATACTTTTACTTAACTGAATGGTCTAAATACTTTGTCCACCACAGTTTATAGGTGATGCAAGTTATATGAGATTTTGGAAGCGTGCCCAGACATCATACCAAATTTATACTACTTACAAATAGAACCTGATTGTGGCAGCCTGCAACTTTTAGGAATCCCAGACACTGTCTGCACTGCAGGGCCATCTCAGGAGCAAGTGAGATGCCTGAGGGGGGCTTGTTGCTGCAGGCATGTGCTGAATATTCCAAATAAGTGTGACCCGCCCAGGCACACAGGGAATTCTTAAGACAGCAACTCCAAGAGACAAATGTTTTTGGGTTGGGTTCTTCATGTGCAGTTTTTGACTTTTAAACAACTACACAGCGAAAGCAGTGATCTGGAATATTTTTGGACAATGCAATATATTACAGTCATTGAAATGAAACAGATCCGTTTCACTTGGCAAATAGCTTTAGAAGAAGTAAATAAAAACAGGCAGAAGTCCCATGTTTCCAGGGGCTTCCCCAGGCCCACTGTATTTGGACAGGAACAATATTGTTTATCATAACCACTTGTCCTCAGAGAGGTGTCAAACTCTGATCCAACACAGGACTTGAACAGCGTGTGAGATGGTGTTCGCTGAGAGAGACTCAACTGGAAAATATGGGTTGACTTGTTATTTATATCAGCTGTTGATAAAGCACAGCCTGTGATATAAAATCAAGTTAAGTGTACAATAAAGATTTACATGACATGTAGTACCAGCTTTGAGAAAAAAGTAACAAATTAACCTAATGAATATTTTAGTTGTTGGTATTATCCTGCTTTATATTTAACTGCATATGTCTTTTGAGTATCGGAGCAGTTAAGTCTTAATGTGCAACAGCAGATATTCTGGCAAGCCGCTTCCAAGTTTTTCACCCTATGTTTAATTTTCAATAGTATTGAAAACAACAACAATTTTGTGCTGACATTTTATTGGCCAAAAGCGTAAGCAATTTTAAAACTGTTCCCAAAAACATGAGATTTTAAAAATATATATATTACTGTGTAAACTGCTCAGCAAACACCCGCTGTAGTTATAAATATAGGCCACGTAAATACTCAGCTGTGCCGCGTGAGGGTCAAGTGTTCAAGCCAAGTCCTCTGAGTGACGGGGCCGCCTGAAAGAGTCAGGCATAGCTCTAAGGCCTGCTCTCCCACCGGCCTGTTCCCTCAAGACCTTCCTGCAGCTACGCATCTCCGTACAGCCCACCACTCAAATTACTTCACACTCCCCGAGGATGGGATTCACAGCCCAAAAAAGCAATGGAATCAAT